AAATCTGATCTGTGATGCTACTGTCGTTCGGCACGCTGCATTGAGCAGCCGCGTTCAGTTTTTAATTGTAGTGTCTGTTCTTTTACTGAACTAAATGATTTTTATTACTATAAAAAATCAAAACGATGGTGGGGGTCGGTGGGCAAGTGACGTAACCGGTGTTGCGGCTTAACACCGGTATCACCGTCAGCACCGTCTATCGCGGCAAGCCTAATAGCCATATATTATAAATAAAACAATATAACTAATAATTAGCATTTATAGACCTTTTTCAATAAAAATGTTTGTACATGTTGGTTCGCAGTTCATTAACTAATGAATGTGCCCATTAAGATTAAGATTAACTAAGATTAATAAATGCTATAGACGTTTTGTTCATTGTTAGTTCATGTTAATTAATGTTAACAAAACGTCTTATATTTTCTATATATTCCTTCACCATATCTGCTTAGGAAATCAGTCAAGTGTGTTTTGCGCATTGAATTATTAGCTGCCAAGAGCAAGAAACCACGTTTAGATGATAATATTGTTGATAATAATGTTCGCTTACGAATCACATTGTCAAAACTATCTCCTTTATCTCAATTGTTTTAAATTTTTTTCTCTTATGTTAGTGCTGCCACTGGAGCGACATGTTTACCGGCCGCCTGCGAGCTGAGATTCCTCCAGCGCTGGTAACATGAACACTGAATGATTTAATATTTCATCTTTTAGAGCAAAGACTTTTGCAAACTCTTAATCAAACCCAGTGCACTCATATTGAGTAGTCATGAATATAACAGACCGTTTAACGCTAGTAAATGATGCTTCACTAGGTTTCTCTGGGCGACGCGTTAATCACTGCTGGAGCTCGGCTGAAGGTTCTGGATCTGAGCGATAACGCTTTCGGACCCGATGGCGTGAAAGGCATCGAGAAGCTGCTCAAGAGCGCCACCTGCCACACGCTGCAGGAACTGCGCCTGAACAACTGCGGAATGGGAATTGGAGGAGGAAAGGTGGGTGGAGTTTATGATGATGATGATATCATCATCCCTTGAAAAACTGGGCACCACAGTTGTGCTCTATTATATTGCCAATTAATGTTTTAGTAAATTTGGTGTTACCTGCTTCTCTAGATCCTGGCTGCGGCTCTGACGGTGTGTCATAAGGAGTCGAGTGCGCTCGGCGCCCCCTTGCAGCTGAAGGTGTTCATCGCCGGCAGGAACAGACTGGAGAACGATGGAGCCACAGCGCTGGCACAGGCCTTTCAGGTGCTGAACCATAAGAGAACTGACACATCTTCCAGAGTAATATTAATATTTTTCTTGCTTTTCATTAATTTGGTGTTTTAAAATCTACCTTATTGCCGAACTTTGTCATTTGGTCCATTATGGATGTTTTTCGGTTTCCCTTAGCTGATTGGTCCTTTGGTTTTGGTCCATTGCTTTATCTTCTTCATTGGTCCACTGGTTTTGGTCCATTGATCCATTGCTTTATCTTCTTCATTGGTCCACTGGTTTTGGTCCATTGATCCATTGCTTTATCTTCTTCATTGGTCCACGGGTATTGCCCCTATGCCCTTTCTTCTTCACTATTGCAGCAAGCCTAGTGTTTTGATCCATTGCTTTGTTTTGGTCTATTGATCCATTGCTTTATCTTCTTCATTGGTCCACTGGTTTTGGTCTATTGATCCATTGCTTTATCTTCTTCATTGGTCCACTGGTTTTGGTCTATTGATCCATTGCTTTATCTTCTTCATTGGTCCACTGGTGTTGATACATTGATCCATTGCTTTATCTTCTTCATTGGTCCACTGGTGTTGATACATTGATCCATTGCTTTATCTTCTTCATTGGTCCACTGGTGTTGATACATTGATCCATTGCTTTATCTTCTTCATTGGTCCACTGGTGTTGATACATTGATCCATTGCTTTATCTTCTTCATTGGTCCACTGGTTTTGGTCCATTGATCCATTGCTTTATCTTCTTCATTGGTCCACTGGTTTTGGTCCATTGATCCATTGCTTTATCTTCTTCATTGGTCCACTGGTTTTGGTCCATTGATCCATTGCTTTATCTTCTTCATTGGTCCACTGGTTTTGGTCCATTGATCCATTGCTTTATCTTCTTCATTGGTCCACTGGTTTTGGTCTATTGATCCATTGCTTTATCTTCTTCATTGGTCCACTGGTTTTGGTCTATTGATCCATTGCTTTATCTTCTTCATTGGTCCACTGGTTTTGGTCTATTGATCCATTGCTTTATCTTCTTCATTGGTCCACTGGTTTTGGTCCATTGATCCATTGCTTTATCTTCTTCATTGGTCCACTGGTTTTGGTCCATTGATCCATTGCTTTATCTTCTTCATTGGTCCACTGGTGTTGATCCATTGCTTTATCTTCCTGATTGGTCCTTTGGTTTTGGTCCATTGCTTTATCTTCTTCATTGGTCCACTGGTTTTGGTCCATTGATCCATTGCTTTATCTTCTTCATTGGTCCACTGGTTTTGGTCCATTGATCCATTGCTGTATCTTCTTCATTGGTTGCGGCTTAACACCGGTAACACCGTCAACACAGACTATTGCAGCAAGCCTAGTGTTGGTCCATTAGTTCATTGCTTTATCGTCTCCATTAATGTATTGGTGTTGCTTTATTTTCTCAGTTGATCGGCAGTCTGGAGGAAGTGCACATACCCCAGAATGGCATCAATTACCAAGGAGTCACAGCTTTAGCCACAGCAATGCAACACAACCCACAACTGCGAGTGCTGAACCTCAACGACAACACTTTCACCAAGAGAGGAGCGATCGCCATGGCACAGGTACACTGGAGAGCAGAGACTGTGCTTTAGCTGGAAAATCAGTGGAATTATTGAAAAGCTGTACGACATCAACAGCTAAATATAAAAATTAAGCTGGTAAAAATGGCAACTAATAGATGTGTATTTTTGATGGTTTCTTGCCACTACTATGAAAGAAGAAATGTTATGGAAGCAAAATAGCCCGAAATTGACCAGTGCATGAAAACCAATAGATATTCCTGTAGTTTCCTGCCTTAATTTCAAAGGTGTTTCTCTGTTTGTTAGGCATTGAAACACCTGCGCAATGTGCAGGTGATAAATTTTGGTGACTGTCTTGTTCGGTCTGAAGGCGCCAGTGCCATAGCAGAGACCCTGAGAGAAGGACTGCCAATTCTCAAGGTACTGGTAGATGATCGGTTTCTAGGGATGCACCGATACCACTTTTTCCTGTACTCGCCCGATACCGATACTTCTATTTTTTGTACTTGCCGATACCGAGTACCAATACCGATATTTTTATTGCATTTGTACATTTTTTACATATTGGGTACAGAAACCAAAAGGGTATGTATAATGTTAGTTGGTTAACTTCATTTATCAAATAGATACAGTCAAACCAAAATTTATTCAGACACCTTCAACATTTCTCACATTATCACAGTTTATTCACTATAGTTTAGAAAATGGTAATAAAATATGACAAGAACTCAGAGTTACACTGTGTCAGAACAAATTCATCGATGTTAGATAACTTTGATAGAAAGGTATGTAATAGATTACAATCAACCAAAAAATATTTAGACAGCTGTTAGTATGACACTATTTACACAACCCTTAGCCTTAATGACAGCCTGTAGTCTCCTGGGCATGCTGTCACCCAGCTTCATGCAAACCTGAACTTCAGTTTTTTTCCCAGACTCGGTCTGAATAATTTTTGGACCCAAATTTGTATCAATTTTACTGGTAGTCCACAGTATGAAGAATTTTTGGGTATGATTTGTCACAGTTTACTTTATTTTGCTATCCTCACTTACATAAATGAACTATAGTGTCCTGCACCCACTAGTAAAAAAATATCAAAAATTATATCTGGTCTCTGAATCATGTTTGGTTTCACTGTATATCCTTCGGTTATTTTCACACTTAATTATGCCCATTAAAATGTATTTTACAAGTTTTTGTTAATTTCACTGTTCATTTTTTTGCTCTATGATACATCATCTTTAATTTAATAGCATCAGAGCTGCTCCATTGCAGCGGCTCAGTACTGTAATCACGCGCTTTGCTGTAATAATGCAGGGAACCACTCGTTATAAATCTCCTAACTGTGATATTTTCAGAAATAGAAGTCGCGTTTTTTCATCTGAAACGTGCTGCGATTTATATTCCAAAGCCACTCATATAATGCAGAAACACTCAAGCAAGCAAAACACGCGCAACGCGTGCAGGTATTTGTACTGATGCAGAATAGTACAGCCTAGCGCCGTGCATCCCTATCAGTTTCTATGCAGTATAGCTTTGGCTAAAGCACTTCAAATGATGACATGATTAAAGCTTAATCAGTAACCGTGCTCGTCTCACTCTCATCAGGAGCTGAATCTATCTTTTGGGGAAATCACTGAGGACGCTGCACTGGAAGTGGCTCGATCCGTCCAGCATAAAGATCAGTTAGAAAAACTTGACCTGAATGGTATAATCACACATTCAAACAGAAAAAAACATCACATCATTGTCAGGATTTATCTGCAAACATCCAAACAGTCAACGAGCCAAGTTTAGCTCTCAAACCGATGGTGGTGAACAGCTTATAAACCACTCTGTGACAGTTTTTGAAAGACATTTAAGATGAAATATTATGTCAAGGCCGTGTATTTGTCTGTTTGCTTAAAGTTGATGCATTGCTATTAATCACCTAATAACAGTTTAAAATATTAAAATACACAAACAGTGATAAAGCAGTCATTATGGGTTATTATAGTTAACTAAAACCATTTTTAATTAAAGTAAAATAAATGTTAATTGAAATAAAACAACAACAAAAAAAACATTATTTCTGCTAGTTGCCAAAGAAATTAAATTTTTATTTAGTTTAACTATTTGTACTAAAATAACAATCTGAAATGTAATTTAAAAAATATATATATATATATAATAAAAAGGACAAAAACAACAAAATTACTAAAACTTTAAAATTAAAGTGAATATAGAAAATGTAAAAATAAAAATTAATTTGAAGTATTAATAAAACTACATTAGTATCTCAATGATAAGACTGGTTACAGGGTAAACCAAATCTAATAAAAACGTTTGTTAATTGTAATAAAGCAGAAATATAAAAATATTAGATGAATAACTAAATGAAAATTGAAAATGTTAGGTTGAAGCACTAAAATTATTAACTGGAAATAAATAAAAATACAAAAACAAACTGAAATAAAAATCTAGTTAGTAATATAAAAAACTAATAAAAAGACTAAATGACTAAAAATGGAACAAATAAAAATGAAAACTGAATATTTAAAAATAAAAGTTTCAAAAATATTATTCATTATTAAAGTAGTAAATATTTTATAGTATATAATATAATAGTAAAAATGTAATTTAAAGTAATATTATATATTAAAACTCAAAATATTAATAAAAACTGTAATAGCATATAGATAATACTAAAATATCATGATGACATAAACCTGTGTAATTAAAAAAAAACACACACACACACACTGCAGCGATATTTACACTCACATTCACAACATACATTTGGTTGTGTTTGGCTTCAGGTAACATTCTAGGTGAAGGCTGTGAAAGGCTGCGAGAGGTGATGGAGAACATGAACATGGCAGACAAACTGGGCTCTCTGAGGTATCATACACTAAACAAAAAACTGCACTGTGACATTCATGACAGTCCAGCACATTTCCCTCGCAAATTCTCTTCATCTTAATGTGGAAAATAGATATTTTTATATATTTTACCTAATTTGCATCAGCTTTGAATGAGCGTAATTTCTTCTCATGTCACAGTGATGACGAGGGAGAACCTGAGGAAGATGAAGATGAGGAGGACGATGACGACGATGATGATGATGATGTGGATGAGGAAGAGGAGGAAGAAGAGGAGGAAGAAAAGAGTGAATTAAATCAGGTTTGATCAAAACGTAAATTCTTCCCGTTTGAAGCACAATTCAAATCAACATTACAAAACAGAAAGCATAAGTGAGAACAAAGTAAATGTGTATCTGTTTACGTAGGTCTCAACGCCGCCTTCAGCACCTCGTACTCCAGACGTCTCGACCTTCCTGAGCTTTCCGTCTCCAGACAAACTCCTGCGACTCGGCGCAAAGAGAAGCTTCCTCATCCAGCAGCAGGTCAGTCTTTCCAGCGTGTGACTTTTACAATCTTTTAAATTAATTTTAGGGTTTCTGTGGCTCTTAAAAAGTTTTAACTTGCCCTTCTGCAATTTAAGACCTGAAGAAGGTCTTAAATCAGAGCAGAAAGTCTTAAATTCATAAATTTGTTGCGTTAAATGTTGCATGCACTGCAAACATATGAATATCTACCTCAATATTTGTCTTGTTATCCAATACAAACATCCTTAAATCAAGAAACATTTACTTGAGATGCAAAATGAACACATGCAGTCTTGTTTTCTGAGAAACTGAACAAAATGAAGTGAGTTTATGCTTAAAACAAGAACTAATACAGGGTGTCCTTAAAAAGTCTTAAAATGTCTTAAATAACGTTTTCCTAATATGAGGCCTTAAAAAGTCTTAAAATGTCTTAAATTCGGAATCGATGGGTCTTAAATATTTTTGGTCACATTACCGCTAAAATATCGTCAGTCTGACGTACCTAATGACTGTTTACAATCATTGGACAGACCGAAGATTTTTTCTTCTCTGCGGTAAGTTACTGCGTCATCACAGAGAATTGCAGTAAGTTAGCAGAATACAGAATACAAG